GAGATGAGGTCCCCTGCTTGGTGGTCACCCCTTTCCACCCCGTGTTCCTCTGTCCCAGGTCAGCCTGCTCAGCCATGAACACCTCTGCACCCGGCAGCCAGCTGAGACAGCCCGAGCTCCAGGACGTGGCCGCCTTCACTCCCGTCTCCATTGTCAGGAGCGTGACGAAGAAATCCGATGCCCTGCCCATGATTTCCGTGATTGTCGTCATCTTCGTCCTCTTGGCCGTCTTCATCATCATCGTGGTGCACTACGGCCCTCACCTCCGCACCGTCCAGATCACCCTTTACCATGAGCCCATGCCGCAGGACCTGGACGATGGGGTGCACCTCACGGACTGGAAGAAGCTGGGCTCCCAGAAGAAACCACCTGCCCAGCCCTACCAGCGGGAGCCGGGTGGCATGGATGCAGCCGGCGTGAGCTGCCAGTGCTCCTGCAAGCATCACCTTCCCTGTGGGAGCGCTGAGCCCAACGTCATCGAGATCACGTACCTGTGACAAGCCTGTGGGCCGCCTGGGCAGGACTCAAGGGCCCATGTCCTGCTGGAAACATAGCAGCTGGGATGTTAGCTTAGCCCGAGACTCACCGGTTCCTGCACGTGGAGGTTTTAGCTCCCCAGGATTGTGTCTCTCCCCAGGTAGGCTCAGATAGAAGGTTGTGTCACTGCAGTGACCCATCGTCAGCCCCCAGAAGTGCAGCCCAGGGAGACCACTGGCCCCAGGGAAGAGCTGGGTCCCCAGCTCAGGCTCCAGGGCTGGGTCAGCCTATGTGGGACAGCATTAGCATCTCTTCTGGTTTTTCTCGCCCTGGTTTTACCTGTCCCATGCTGTCTGGGAGTGCCCAGGAGAGCTGTCTTGGTCCTTGCCCCAGCCAGGGAGCTCTGGGCTTATGCTCAGCCCCTTGGCAGAAGCTGGAAGTTACATCATCTGGAATTGCCTTCCAGATTAAAGATGTTTCCACATGCACAGTGTCCTCATTATGCTGTTTACATGGCACAGAAAAGCCTGCAGCCCCTCTTTTCCTCTATGCCACAGCCCCTTTTCCTCCATCAGAGGGCTGAAACACCGTCCTCCCTCCTGCCAGCCCTGGCAGTGGGCTCAGCCCGTCGTGGCAGACAGCCAGAGGAGAGGAGGCAGCACCTGAACCCGTGTTGGCGATCCACTGGTGGAGCCAGCGGCAGAGGACAATGTGTCCGGTCCCCCAGCTGAAGGTTTGAGAGAAGAGAGGTGACACGGCAGAGGCAGGAGAGGTGATAATGGCACATCCCCTTGCAGTCGGCTGAACATCTCATGGTGTTGGCACCGGTGGAGAAACACGTGCACCTCTGGGCAGAGCCTTCAGCATCTCTGTGCACGATGGCAGGGATGGGGAGACCTGAGGTCCTCTTTGTTCTGGTCATCGTCGTTGTCCCCATCGCTCTCTGCTGTCCCTGTGCCAAGGGATGCTCT